CAACGGACTGTATCTAAAGTTTGCCCTTAGAATACAATTACTCTTGTTATCGGGTGAACTGACCCGCTTCCGATTATTTTATTGCCGCTATGAAGTCTCGGATGAAATACAATTATTTCAAAGTAAATAATTGCTTGCACGAGGAGAAGCTTAAAAGAAGTGTTTACAACTTTCCAGGTCCACTCTTTTCACTACTTGACTCTGAAATCGCCCCGTTTATCTCGTGCATCTGTTATGAATAAATTTGGGTAAAACAGGATGTGGTTTGTACCAAGGGGAGAAAACACGTCACCCAGCGATGGAGCTCACGTTTTATAAGCTTGTGGCGAGGCTACGTGTGAGCCGGGGAAAACATGTGGGCTGTATATCTGTCATAATGGTGTCTAAAAGCAAGCGTTGGTTATAGGGACATACATGAAGTGGAGCTGAACTGAAGGCTGTTAACAACGCAGAAACACACAACACATTTATGAAACCCTTGCCAGCCGTTCACTGTCGTCTCACCCCCACACCCCACACCTCCCCACCCCCCACACACAATCCAACCAACACCCACCACCTCCCCTCAGATTCAACAGAGTGGCGTCTGAAAGTCTGACTTGCAAAGTTACTGATTTCCAGTCTGTATATTAAGGCAGTTCATGTAAGTAATTCCAGTGGGCTTTCTAGTAAAGGAGAACAAATCGCTGACAAAAGGGAACGCTTTTCGATTCAGCTGTGTCGTTAGGACGACGGCAAAGTATTCCTCAGATAATAAGTTCCACTTCAAAGGATTTTCCATTCAACGGTGACTGCTTCGCTCTTTTATTAAGTCCCCGGGTTTTTCACTCAGAGGAATCATCTGTTTGGTTATTTTTCATCATGTTTATTTTTCACCATTCACAGAGTACTTGCATTAGATAAACAAAGGGCGATAACATATTGCACACAATAGTTGGTAAGCCCCCCCAAAAAAAGAGGGAAAAAAATCAGAGTAAACACTTCAAGACTCATCCAAAAAAAGTAAAGTCGCTGATATTTGGAAAGGTGGGGGGAAGGGATTGGGGGGGGGGGGGGGAAGGCAAAAAGGGAGGAGGCGCCGGAAGGGGGGGGGGGGGGGGGAACAAAATATGAACGTTTCTGATGCAGTGAAAATTGACTGAACTAACATAGCATGAAACTAAAGGTCAGTGCAACTGTATCTTAATAGACTGTCGCGAATCGAGGTAGACTGCTTTGAATGCAGCCTGCTTTGGGCTTACTCATTGCCATAGCAATCTTAACGCGCCATGTTGATATACCGTAAAAGCAGTAGTTTGAATTTCAAAGCGGTTTGCCTTTGAACTTTCCCCTGCTTGATTAGACTCTTGCGCTTTTTTTTGGCATTTTTTTTGTTGTTGTCTTGGGTTGTGCTTCTTCGATTTTCGTTAAGCAGCAAACTCCAGCTCTGGCTTGTGGAAGGGAAGACGCTCACGATTTGTCCCTTAAAACCTAATATTTTGCTTGTGATTATTTAAAATGTTCTGCAGCTGATTTCTTCCACGTGTAAACTGCAAAGGGACAACATGATCCGCATCAAACTAAGCACAAGCACACACTATACACTAAGGAGAGTGTAATCCCTCTTGTTTATGGTGTTCTCAAACCCTATTTCTGATCCAATCTCCCAGCACACGGATCAAAAACAATCTCGCTCGCCTGTTGAAAAGATTGAGCAAAATTATTCGCTGTGTCATCTGCCGATTATTTATTAGAAATCCTTGTAGCTTTGACAAAAGGGCGTTGATCAATGTTTTAACATGTTTACGTCAATATGCTGGTTAATAGTTTGTGTTTGTGTGGAATGGGCACGGGTCCTCTTTTGACTCGTGTTTCTGTTTACTTGTGGCTGAGTTAGAGACGCGCTACTTGAACAAATGACAAGTTTCACTGATGTATACCCGACATTAAAAAGTCTGTTTTTCTCCCCGGAGCGCAAGGTGTCTGGTGTTACTGTGCAGGGGGAGAATGGACTCCATCTCCGCTTAAATCATACGCTGCTTAGACCTAATAAGTGAGCTTTATTGTAAATATATTCAAATGTGGAGATCGGGTTTGCCAATTGCCATAGAAATCCTAACACAGCATGAAGAGTGTCCAAGCGCCAAGTCTTCCGCTCTGGAGTAAATTGCTTTGAAGTGGCGCAGGACAGGCACCGGTCACATTTTAACTCTATAGGAAACGATAGTGAATACGGGGAGAGCGAGGTTGTAGGGTTTAGTGCAGCAAGTATGGAGGGGAAGCGTGTTTTTTTTGCATTCTTTACAACGATCTGCTTATTGTTGAATATCTTTTATCTTTGATATCTGCCATGAATGATTCATGTCTGGATGCCTTTGTACAGCCCTTCCTTTCACCAGAAACTTCATTAGAGAGCTATAAGTTTCTCCATTGATTGGCGCCTTCATTTACATGAGTCTTCTTCTGCTTCATATGCTTTTAATTGCGAATCTCACAGAAACAACCTATTTCATTTAGGAGACATATCACTCATTCTTCGAATTGCTTTCTTGCATCCCAGGTCTGTTCTCTTACGCACATTTCCATCTGTTCTTTGACACTTTGGCCAAAAGGAATGTTCCTGTTGCTTCATTTTATTAGCAAAGTATCTGAAAGATGTATCCCCAAGCTGTATGTTTTTGTATTGGTCGAGCCTTTTGTAGATCTCAACCTTCAGGTGCACAGTGTAGGTTGTCTGTCTTAAAAAGGCCATACTTACTGAACTCCCATGTTAAAACCATTTCAACGGATGGGTCAAGTTGTTTTACAGTCCCAATTAGAAGGTGAAAACACTACCAACATCACACTTAAAGTCAATCACCCAGAATCACACATGTTATCCTTATGGATTCTCCGCCACATTTGGCTGTTATAAGGCAGGCATGGAATTTTCGAGGCATTTGATAAGGAAACGGGGGATTGCAGGGAAATATACAAATGGAACTCAACTTCCTGAATTGTTTCCCCCTTGATATTGTTTCTGGATTGTTTTATACTGGATCGTCCAAATGTGTTTGTGTGTAATCCATCAATTGCGATTCTACTACGTTGCTGCAGATGTTGTTAAAAGTAGCCACAACAAAATATCTGGATGTGCAAGTGGGTGGATTCATAATAAAGGAGTGAACAGAGTGATATAACCAGGATACGTTTCAACTCTCTGCTTACCTGGATTTCTGGAGTTGGGATAACATGATCCCATAGGATAAACTTCCTTCCTTACCATACTGAAATGCTAATTAGAGACAATATTGGGGACTGTTTCATCTCCCGTCTGCCAATTGGAGCCAGGTAGGTAGCATCTTCAATGTTTGCTGAAGTCCCTCTGTGCATTCTATTTGCGATAGACACGTAAATATTTGCGTGGAGACAACTGTTGTCATGCAACAGCAGAAAAAAGAAGTTACACCTGACGCCCTCCGTCATTTATCTTCAGATCTTTTAGCTAAAATGACCTGCGTCTCTACCATTGAGGTCAAGATTTCCAAAGGCACAGTACAAGACTTTACTGTCAGGATTTGCACATTTAATACACAAGTTATTAACGCTGAGAAAAAAAACAATATTTGTTTATTCACAATTTGAAAATACATTGTCACACGGCTAAACCTCCGTTACTGAAACACGTTTCTAATGGAAATACACATGGACCATTCATTATTTTGAAGAAAATGTCATCTCGCAACTGCATTTTGGGTGTAGATTTGTAGATTCGAATCAGGGATTCTGGGCGGTGTTTGTTAATGGAAATGGAATGTAAAATAACTGCACATGCATGGTAATGATAATATACCAATACTGTAGTTACAACGATTAACTGCAGCACCTTGAAGGAATAAACAATCACATATCTTCATTTTCACATTTCACATTTCATTCAAGTAAGCAGAAAATAAATGTTCTGACAGACCACAGATTTATCAACACCACGAAACTGCACCAAACGTAATAATATAATTCTTTGGTGTATCTGTACTATTGCAGAAAGATATTACACATCAGCAAATAAATTATACTTTACAAATAAAAGAACATTTACGGACGAGAATCTTAAGGTAGCTAACGATGATATCAACGAGTCGCAGCTCACAACAATTATGTACAAATCCTACAGGGACAGGCCTGTCATTTTTGCGTCTTCTGGCCTCTAAGGACATATTAGTGCTCTTTAGTTTGTTTGTACGAAGGCCTGAATAATTATGAGTAAAATATGAATATTTTTGCCTGTACCATGATAGATAGGAAATCACAGGAGAGGCTGGTGTTCCAAAATCCCAATAAAGGTTGATAAATTATCGGTATTGATATCCTGGGGTCAAATAGGAAAGTCCTAATTCAACTTTTCTTTTGGAACGGTATATACCTTTTTTGTGTCTTTTATTATCGAACCACTAGCACTGGGTCATTTCAGCTGAACACAGAAATAAGGCGACTTCCGCCACCCTCCCACCCACCGCCAAGCTTGAATCATATTGCCCATCATTGTGTCTGAAGTGTGGGGTAGCCCTTCGCTCAAACCGTCGACTTGTAACCCTGTAACCGGGCCCTCAAAGAAACACTCCCAGCTCTCGAGGGGAATATGTTGTCTGACTGTTCAAAATAAAAAAAAGACCGGTGTTCTCTGGTCAGGAGAAAACGCTATTGCTCGACTGCAATAGGTCGAATGATGGGCTTTATTTCTTTAAGTCACGTTTGATCATCAGTATTTACAACTCTTAAAAATAAATCATGTTGTGAGTTTCATTAGCTTCGATGGTCCCAGGACAATCTTGGTTGACACAGAAAATGAACGTATAGGCCACAAAGCTGCATGAGATCAGGTCGGTAGCCCTTAAGTTGTTTTCCTACGCGTATTGAACCTACTTGGTTTAAAGTGGCCACAGGACACCTTAGTTGGTATTATTGGATGGCCGCCATTGCCACAGACCCTCGATTGACGCTTTTCAAGGTGCCCATATGCACGTTTCTGCAACACTCATCTGTCAGAGCATAGTCCTGGGATCTGGGTCCCTGTAAACCTCCTCATCCTCAGTGTCGGATGAGGTGCCGTTGCTTGAAGATGTGTGGAGGCTGTTGGCAGCCCCGCTCCCCTGGCAGACGTACCATTCGTTGAGGTTGGTGACTTGCGAAGAGACGCTGGCAGTGCGGCCCCTGACGGGCTCTGAGGCTGGAGACACTATCCCCAAGGATGTGTTGGAGAGCTCGTAACCAGAAGTGAGGGGAGGTGGGGGAGATTTGCAGTGCACCTTCATGTGTTTGCGAAGGGAACTGGGATGAGTGTACGACTTGTCGCAGCCTCTAACTTTACAGTTGTACGGCTTGTCACTGGTATGGACATGAGAGTGTTTCTTCCGGTCACTGCTATTGGCAAATTTCCTGTCACAACCATCGAACTCGCATTTAAAAGGTTTCTCTCCTGAAAATAATAAAGTAAACACAATAAGGGAATAAAGCCGAGTGGTTGTATACAGTAAGTTTTTTTTCCAAGCTTATTTTAACAAATTGATTGTGTACACTGGTCCGAATTCAACATGACCATTTTACCCCTAGTTGCAAGAGTAAGTTCCTGTGTTTCAACAGTGATTGCACATCAAAACAAATACTTCGTTGACTGTATTGCGCTTTGGGATAAGATTCTCAGGTCGTTAAAAAGCGCTAGACAAATTGATATGTCCTTCTGTAAGTGTGCACGTATATAAAATAAAAAGGTTTACCAACGGGACCTGCTGGCGGAGATGTTGTGCTCTCCAACGCATCCTCAGCTTTGCTTTTTATTTTAGAGGGCATATGGAACTTTTCGTATTGAAAGTAAACAATTTAATTCACACTTTAGTCTGGCGTGAACGCGTCTCCTGCAGAAATACTCCTTTTTCGTCTGACTTTCCTGAAAACGCTGCGAATCTGCATAAAATACATTTCAGCCAAATTCCACATTCTTCCTCTGAATAACTGATAAACTTTATACTCCAACTGAACGCGTTTTTATCCCACAACATTTCACTTGGAAAGTAATTTGGCGCTGATATTATTGGCAAACCTCCTTGGCAAGAAGTTTTAAGACGTTTTTTCTTTTAAAAAAAACTTATTTCACTGGCCAGTTTTAATATTCACGTTTTTCTTTCATGCTAGTCTATTTCGGTCTTTCGACTATTGGAAACCGTGAAGAGAATGTTGGGATTTGATATTTCTGTGGTCAGAATTTGTTCAGATAACAGTCTGCAACCTGACGAGTTAAAGCGGTTAAGCAGCGTGGGACATTACCCCGGGACATTACTCGCTTTCTCCCCAAACCCGTCAATGTAATTCTTTCACTGCATATTTTGTAATCTGGTAACCAACAATCTGATAATTTAGGCAAACTGAAATCGACCTGCGATATGAAGGGTTAGTCTTGTTGCATTAAATTCTCCCAATCGAGGAGAAGCACTATAAATACAGGCCAACTTCTCGTAAACTAAGCAGCCAGATCAACAATCTCGCTTACTTACCTGTCTTTAGATTGGGGAAAATGGGTTTCATATCACAGTAACTTCGATCCTGTGCTTGAAGTTGAACTGGACGAGGACAATAACACGAGGCATGGTGGCCATCTTTTGTAACAGCACGCATTTTATACCATTAAAAAACAACATGGTGACTGTCCTTCTTAGAATCATTGAGCCTTATTTGCACTGACTGTCTGGCTTGTACTTGGCGGAATCTTTAAAGCAAAATGATGTTCCTATTTTGGATCCTGTCTCGTGTTAATATTCTTACACAGGGGTTTGAGTTGGGGCTGGACCCATGGCAGCGGCCACAGGCGTCTTCCAGATTTGTATACTGTAAATATTTATATTTAGCTCTGCTGTAGCTCGGTGCAGTCCCTGGATCCCAGGGGCTGGTCATAAACTAGCAATTCGAACGTGCCTGGTGTTTGACCTAACGGTTAGTTCGGAGTTTCCGGCCCCAAGCAGCATGTCAGGAGGAAGACACTGACAGCCTTTGATTGTTGCATTGCATTTTGCATGAGCTAGGGATCCAAGAAAAAAACACTTGACCGATAAAAATGGATTCGCCCTCAAACACATGACTTTGCCAGAAAACAGGACCAATTTGAACCTGACAGCATACCACTGTCATTAGGAACTTACAGTCTGCTACTCATCTTTGTTCCTGGCCCCAGATATTGCACAGTTAAGCCTCGTTCTTTTTTTTGCATGGATCAATGCAGAGCAGGGACTGAGTGGATTTCCTCTTCTCTGGACGTGACTTTCATAAACTCAATGGTCTGGTTTGAGTAACACCTCCACACACACAGGTTTCAAACACAGCATTAACTTCTCGGCAAACCCCAGAATCATACTATGCGACTGAACACCAAGTGTTTCCAACCTTATCAAATCTGCAGACTAGCACCAGAAGTCTCAGAGGCTACACATAAACTTTCGAACTGACGGAATGCAGTATTTTAAAATAGAGAATTATGGTAATTGACTTTACAAACACACTTAGCTCACATCGCCATATTGTGTGTGTGTTGATGCCTGGGGTTACATTTAAATGCTTGTGCATTATATATAATATTTTCTTTAATACAGCGGCGAGAATGATTCTGCCCGTGCAGCTGTGTTTCCGCAACGGGCCATAATATGCTGCAACCAGTCTGTTCACAGAATTTTAGCAACATCAGTTCCATTTGTGGGGATCGACATCAAGTGATGGACAGCTTTACCTTGCAGCTTCACTGAAGTGAAGAAAGTAATTCTGCTTCGCCGTGTGACGCTAATTACCATTTTTGTGTTATTTTTAATCTATGACCCACTTAAAAATATTATGATGCGAGAATTTAACGTTCTGTCTCCGAACCCGGACATATTGCTTTAGGTCGAAGTGGACACTATTGGAAAGGTCAGTAAATGGCCACTTCATGGCTCGAGTTTGGAACCATGAAAAGAAGGCCCGAAAAGACACGAGGACTACTCCAGAGAGAGTTGTCTTGTTCTCGATTACAATTTCTGCTTCGGAATATGGTGCTGGGAGAGTAGGAAGCAAACAGTATGGTCTGAAAGACTTATAGAGAGATGGACAGGAATGAAGTTTTAAAAACGTTAATTTCTTTCCACAATACTCTTAGAAAGAGATTGAGGATTTGGGCAAGCGAATCTAGCCCTCCAATTGGGTTCTGGGCAAAACTGGAGTACAATCCCCAGTTCGCTTCCAGCCCCCTCCCACACTCCGATGTTGTCTTTTAAAACCAGTCCAACATATTCTTTAGATAAAATCTATAGCCAGAGCAGTCATGGACCATTTGCTTTTAACATTTAAACAACAAATTAAGCAGGCATTAAACGAATAGGTGTAACACTATCTGTTTATACCCTGTGACAGCGCACAATAAATCAGTGGAAACAATTAAGCAAAGCATACGTCAATAAACATTCTCCAAGGGATAATATCTGTCTGCAACAATAAATTCTGACCAGGTTGCCTTATTTCGCAAGCAACTAAAAAAAGGTATACGAAAGATCTGCAGTGAACTTAGTTCAAGTTAGACAGGGCACACCCTCGGGGGATTTGCGATTGTTCCTGTAGCGTATTTACTGCCAGTGGGTCACAAAAAAAACTTCATTATTCCAATGATTAAGCCAAACAATAGCATGCTGTCTGTGAGGGTATTGATATCCTTTCTCTCAGGGACTCTGTCTTAAATTTCAACAGCTAAAGCCGGCTACTGGTCCAATCTGATCACAAACTTCGATTTTTTTTTTGCCCTGTCCCCTAAGCCTATCACAAGGCTACATTGAAACCTCCCTGTCCTAATTTATCATTCTTTGCCTTTCACTTCGTCGTGGATAATTCTTTTTTAATTAAAAATAGATTTGGATTAAAATATCGGACTTTCAGTGGAGCCTTCTCTTTCTAAGACCTGAGAACACTTCCAATCCATTGCGGCTGGTCGCTTCAGTTTTAAATTGGTGACATCTTCCACTCGTAATTCCTGGGGCAGGAAACAAAGGGAGGCCCCTCTTTTTTTTTCCCCAGCCCGTTTGAAAATGTTCCCGGCCTGTTTCCCACCCACGGAAATCTCCGACACCTTTCAAAATGAAACCGCGAGAATTTAATTCCACATTCTAGGGCTTTTGTGCAGCCGAGTGCATGCCAGTTAGCTTTAGGGGGCTTGTTTCCTGTGATGGTGAAAAAATGAGACTGGTTAGACTCCACCAAAGTAATCACTTCTCGTTCTGTTTCTAACTTAAGCTGTGCCCGATCAGACCAGCGAGACGCACTTGCTGAAGGGGGACAAAGCGAGATCCCGCTTAGATACACCAACCTGTGTGAGTCCTTTTATGTATCTTCAAGTTTTCCGAGCGAGCGAATACCTTACCACAAGCCGGGAATGGGCACGGGAATGGTTTCTCGCCTGTGTGAACTCTGATGTGATTTACCAGTTTGTATTTTGCCTTGAATGGTTTCCCTTCTCTCGGGCAATCCTCCCAGAAACAAACGTGAACGCTCTGCTCGGGTCCTCCGACATGTTCCACCGTGACATGGTTCACCAACTCATGCATGGTGCTGAAAGTTTTCGAACAGGATTTCTTTGAAGAGTCTTCCTGGTCGATCCACTTGCAGATGAGTTCCTGTTTGATCGGCTGCCTCATATACCTCAGGAATGCCCCAGCTCCGTGATGAGCCGCCGCCAGGTTAACGTTTAAGTTCATGGAGTTGTAACTGTGCAGGGAAGAGGCCGGGTAGTGCTCGGCTCGATGGTTAAAATGTTCTGGTCTGTACAAGTCCCCCGGTAAACCCAGGCGCATCTGTCCGTTTAAAGTGTGGTGGGATCCCGGCGCAGACTGCTCGTGGAGCCCCGGGAAGACCTCCGGATGTCCGTAGCTCCCTGGGGTTGACAGGAACATTCCGTGGTGGTGATGGTGGTGATGGTGATGGTGGTGAGAGGAAGACGCTGGGTGCTGCTCAGTCAGCCCATGCATGGCGGACGCTGAGAGATCTCTTCTGAGCATGTAATCCCTACCGCTGCCGTAGCCCGTGTGGGCATGGCCCGCTGAGTAACTGACCGAGTTCTGCGCGGAGCCGAAAATCGCCGCTGTCTGCGTCTCGGGATGTCCGGCCATGTGCTGAGATGGACTGAGTTTGAGAGCACTGCTGGACTGAGCCACGTGTTCAGGCCCGAAAGAGGTGAGAGCCACACTAGGATCGTTGCTCATCTCCCCAGGGTGGATGTGTGTATGACTCGCCAGCCCCGGGAAACCTGACATATTCTGATGGGGATGGTATTTGTTAGCTGCCAAATCCGCTAATCTCAACGCTGGATTCCGCTTGCTTAGCGCCGCTTCCATAACTACACAAGCCTGCCCATCCACACAGTAGTTGGTGGTACCGTTTGCTTTCTCTCTCTTCACCTCCCCCCTTCTCCAAAACCCACCCAACTACCCCCACCCCTCCCCCCACCCGTCCCCAAACTTTTTTTTCAAAAAAAAAGCAAAGCTGGAAAATATTGAGCTCGGTTCCAGCACTCTTTTTTTTGTTGTTGGAGCACTTTTAACTCTCCTTTCTCACTCTATCCTCAAGCGATTGGCAGAACCTGGAGTGGTTAGGCGACAGAGTAGGGAAATATAGTTCAGAGATGGCAAGGCCGCGATTGGCGACTTTGGGCTGATTGGCAGCTGCTCCGTTCAGGCAATTTGCCCGTTTTCAGCGGAGCGGCGCAGCGGGATCCTCCCACCTCCCGCTTGCATTTCCCATCCTGTGGATTTTGCTCAAGTTTTCACTTGGAAACTTTAGGGACATGGACACTTACCTTTTAAAAGACGCATATATATCCTGAACATTACATAACTGGGATTAACGAATTACGACGTTATCACCACACATCCACAACACCCCAGACATCACCCTACCCCACCCGCTGAATTTGGACATTTGATGTAGAATTGTTATCTATGAATATGAACTGTTTTCAAATTCGCTTCGCAGTGAGGAATCAATGATGTATCATTTGCATGAATTTTGATTTGCTTGTAGATTTTTTTCGTAAATAATTAGCTGCAAAAATAATGTATAAACACATTCTACAATTCTCGTGTAAACCAGCACAAGTCGTGTTATATGTTGGTATTTACAGCATGCTTTCAAGTTCAAACAGAGTCTTTCAATAATCAAAATTTTGCTGTACTTATAGGGGACCCCATGACAATAATTACAAATAATCGATGTATAGATCAGATGGGTCCGTCTATTTTTTTGTATCCGCGTACTAATTTAAAGTTTACGCGCTTGTAAAACGCTGAAAATGTATACGCCTTTAAAAATAAACTGAAGGATTTCGGAATAGCGGTATTTTCAGCAAATTGTTATAAGTAAATCATCCAAACTGTCGGAAGAAGAATACATGCACGATTTCTCACATTCGAATTTGTATTTTATAATCTGCATTCTAAACCTACACCCGTGTAACAAATGACATAAATAAATGCAAAGTAAATGTGTAAACTGACATACAGAAAGAAAATGCACTTAAATATCACAATGTGTTGTAAACCTATTGCCTAAGATGGGCTTGGTTGGTAGTATGCCGAGGTAAAAGGACAGGGGCTTCATCTTGCGTTGACACATGGAGGAAAAGAGAATTCAAAAAGTCCGACCACCAGACATCACATGGACTATGTTATATGGTTTTGTTATTGTTGGGTTCCTGCAGATATGGCAATGTTTCAACCTGGCTAAACCTAATTAAGTTGGCATGCTCGATTATATCACAAAATGCTCTGCCTTATTATGTTTCTGCTGCCGTTGCTTCCTTTCATTGTAATTCTTTATCAGGGGTTCGGTACATTTCATGTAACTTCTTCTTATTTGCTTATTTTATTGATTTTAATCGTCTACAAAACGTGGGCGACCGTTATTTATAACAATTGGACGAGTGAGGTATAAATATGTATCGGTATGGAAATTGTCAGTGAAATATAACACAATTAGCTGGTTTTGACTGAAGTAAGATTTATCATTCAACCCAAGCGAAATAATTCAACGCAGATTGCCAAAAGGAGAAAGGCGAGTCGTTGTGAAAGGATGGCAACACAATCCATTACAGAAAGTAAGTTTATTTGACAAAACACTGAGTTTGTTGAAATAGTGCTATGTTGAGTCACACCAACTCGTTGGAGAGAAAATAATAGGAATACTTAGAATGTAAGCAAATATTTCTGGTTTCAAAGTCAAGTCTTTAATGTGAGTTTTGAGACTTCGATACCGTGGAATTGATCAATAAAATGAAATATTAAATGTAGCACAAACACAAGTGAATATACAGAAGCATCCTAATGAACTATTTGTCTTGTTTAATCCGTCTTTCTGCTTGCGATACTGCGTACGAATCTACCTGAGAAAATCTTACCCAGTTGCTTAACCAAAAATTGCGAAAAAAAATTTAATTGGAAATGGACTAACATATGCAAATCAAAATAACGGTAGATGATAAAGTTAAACTGTGAAATAGCGTAAAATGGACATTTTATGAACATATTTATTTCTCCTACATTCAGCATGTCGGTATTAGATGTAGATATTTCATGCGATCCCGTTCAGTCTTGTCTTAATGTTTCCACAGCATTCAGGATTTAAAAACAATGGGAAAAGAACACGCTGTTCGAATGGATTGGATATAACCGAATACGGTTTATTGTCCGTCAGTCCTTTTATACTTATAATAAACAAGTGACTCTCCATGTAGTCTTCTTGATCCGAAAAATGGATAGAGCTCTCTGCCTGGTCACTTTAATAACTTAGACGATGCACTGTTTGAAATATTTTTACCTTATCATGTTTCCGTTATTGACATCCATCTCGCCAATATTATCACATATCGCTTTAATCAAATTTATTATTGTGGAGCTTTATTGCCTGTGATCTGTTTTGCCTGTATATATTGTAAGACATAGTGTAAGTTCTACATGCATATGCTGTGCGTATGTGGATGTCTGTTGATTCGACAACGCTTTATGCTACTTTTTTTATCCACTAACGTTTTGTTAATTTTCAGTATGCGTCATCTTTTTCCATAAATTTCAATTTACTGTCCCATTTCACTGTGCCTGGCTAGGCGCATGTCCTCCAAACGTCCTTTACAAGCATCAGGTACTTGTATCGCCCCAAAGCTCCACCAGGGCTTGTGCCAACAAAAGAAAATGCAAAATTGCATTACCGTTAATAATAATTAATTTTCATAATTGTAAAGTTTTGCTCTGAATAATGTAGGAAACAATAGAGCAAGTGACCAACGAACCTCCAGCAGGTGCTTTTGACGTTTTGTTGCGAGGCAATTTAATTTCTTCCTATAAAACCAGCCAAGTAGAAAAATAATGCCACACCTTTAGCACACACAAAATGAGTGCAGTCTTCAACGCACTAGTCATGTTATGGGAGAATGTCGCATAAAAGGTGATACTTGTTTACAATAGTGCATTTCCCAACCTTTATTCAACTGTCTAAATTAAGAATGTTCCTTCAAACGATTTCAAAGATGTTTAAGTGAATAATATTTGCAAAATGAATATTTCATTTTATTCCTGAAGCCTCATACCAAATCAGATTACGTCATTCTACGAGAGCCACTGTAGTAACATTTTAACATAAACATTGTCTGTTATGAAGGGCGCAAGAGTTTTGCGTACAGGAGTTTTTTTTCTCACTTGTAATATGGAATTCAAAACAAACAAAAGTATATAATTCAATGAGTTGCCTTTCAAGTAGCCACATTTTAAAAGAGCACGAAAGCTTCCTGGGGAAGTTTCGCTGCTACAAGTGCTTGCTACTTGCAATGAAATGAATTCCGTTCTCCAGTTCTGTTTGCCAGTTAGGAAAATTTGCACCATATTACCGATTGCACAAGGATAGGGATTTATGATTTGAGCAGCTGAGGTAAGTTGATTGTACTGTAAAGGGGTATAGATGTTACACGCGTTTCCTTGTCGCTGTCCTTGATCAACACAGCATGATGTGTATCTGTCATCGATTACTACGTCTTAATATATACTTCTGTGATCGATTTATTTATTTCCACGTGTTTTCTTTTGCTTAAGATTGTTACAAAAATGTGACAGAGAAATAAAACCCGTCTATTTGCAAAATCCGAATGCTCCAATTGATTGTGTTGGTTTGAATAGATTTTACAGAGAGTATAACTGAGCATCCAAGTAACACCCTGAAGAAAGTTCCCTTCCTTTGGCCGAACCCTCCAGATACTTATAAATTAGGATTGTATTCATGATTCGATCGGTACGGAAGGCAATTCAAAAATAACAAATATCTGGCACTAATTTGGTTCTGAGGTGCTATAGTCCAGTATTCAGTCTGTCCGTTTAGTGTAAAGCATAAAGCTAAATACTCATTAAACACTGTGCTTGCGTTATAATTATAATGAATTGGTTTCCTGTTTCTGTTTTTCCAGGCTTAGTTATTTTTAAGGAAATTGCTTCCGATTTCCCGGGGTTTTATTATCTCTTATTACACTTTCTAAGCATAATTGTATTTCCAGTTCAAAATTCCATTTTTTTTTCGCTTGTCGCCCTGTTTCATGGAATATCAACAATTGCTCAAAATTATATCAAACAAGTTAGTTCAGTGTCAAAAAGAAACATAGTAATGCGATTTTTAGGGGCGCAATTAATATATTGAACGGATGTACAGGGAATATATTGTTATTAACGTGCTTGGGTAAAATAAATTATGTGAAATATAGGTTAAAATTTAGGAAACATAAACCTGAACAGTCCGAAAGTCGATAGCGGCAAGGAGTCAAGTGATCAGGTATCGGGGTCAGAGAGTGGATAAAGGGAAAAGGTTAATAGAAAGGGAACATTTTGGAAATGCATTGCTGGACGGTGCAGAGCAACGCTAAATGTTGTAATATATTATATAAATGTGGAAAAAGGCAAAGTCCAGAAGAAACACGAATATACTAACTACCGAACAAAGTAGGTAGTATAGTTCGCTGGTATCAATATCAGGACTGAAACATAAATGTTGCTCTTCACTATTACTAAAGGAAATAATTGTAGAGAGGAGAAGCGCGATCGAGTGCAGGCTTCTGAAAGTTTTGCGGTATGTGTTAAGTATTTTTCTTTCTTCCCGATCCTGTACTTACTGGTGGTAAACCACAACGACTTGCCTACAAAGCCAACGCTGTCTGTCAATGGCTACATCATACAAGCCATGTCCTCATAGCAATCCGCCGCTCCATTACCTCATGCCTTGTAAGCCTGGATTCACATAAAATCCCCATACGCTTGATTGCACGCCCTTAATTATTGAACAGATACATGTTTCTTTTCAATGGATGGGGTAATTAATAGACTAT